CAATGCGGAGTTACTCCTCTTTTATGTCACTGTAACCGAGAGCACAATTTTGCCAATTATTAACTTTTGTTACATTATTTGTATTTCTGTGCATGTCAGGATTTGTTAATCTCATTGTTCAACATCAAGTAACCTTTTGCTGAAAACAGAGCGTCATTGTGAATTAGGTATCATCAACTAAATTGAACCTCACCCTGTGTATTTGACAGATGGTAATACATTCATTAAATGTTCTGTGGTTGCTTTGAGGTTGGAAAGTGCTATTTTTCTGGCTTCTAACTCAGGATTCTTAAAGTTGTATAAAAGCATAGTTTTGAAGGGAGAAGGAAAATCACAAAGAGCTCATGAGGTTCTTTTATTAATATCGTTGTTTACTATTGGGGGGATGACACAGCAGGACTGTGATTGCTTTAAGTTGTCTTTGGCCCAGAGTGGAGTAGTGAAGGGTGAGAGAAATGGTTCCACCATGGATTTTGTATATACACAGGTAGAATTTCTTGGAATTTGAAGTTATATTAAATACATCACTGTGGAGGCAATGTGATGCTGGTGCCTTTGTGCTTGGTGATTTCACTGTCCAGAAAGATGGTTTCCATGAGTTCAGACACTTCAGCTGTTGCAAGGGTAACCCGATGACAGGGCTTCTCTCACAGAGCTGGGATCTCTAAGATCACACTGAAAGTCTAAAGGGCGGGGAAGCAATTGGAGGTAGAAATTTCAAAAGCAGCACAGAGCCACATTCTCCGGCATAGTTCCGCTTGGTGTTGTAATATTGAATCCTCCACCCTGCCATTACCAAGACAATGCAAGGCTGAGATTAGACACTTCAGGACAAGTTCTCCACACAGCTGATTTAGGGGTCACCTAAACCAAGTGTAGAAGACTCCACTGACTCCATAGGAAGTTCAGGGTGTTTAATTCAAACCTACTCATTTAATTTACTCACTTCAGGGAAGATTAATCCCACCCATCGACTTGCCATGGAGCCTCAGCTGTTATCAGCAAACCTATTTAGTTATTTAATGATGTTTCCAAGAGGATAAGTTGCCAAGGGAATTAGCTGCTTAACTACTTCTGAAATCCATTGTGGGCAGTACGTTCACAAATGGGGAATTAGTCACTTTTTGGTTAGTCACATCTTTTTAAATGTCTTCATTCAGTCTGGTGGTGTGACTGGTATTCACAAGACCCCTGCCCTGGTAAGTACCCACTGTTCCGTATGTTCTCAGTGTAGATAATGTATAGAGTCATCCAGATTTTCACAAAATAGCCATAGTATGGGAGGTTTAGAATTAAACCTTCTCCTGGATTTACTCAGTAATATGAACCCGGACAGCTCTTTCCTCAGCAAGAGTCCCAAAACCTTCAGAGCTGTAGGATATTCTGAGGAGGTTATTTCTTTGTTCGTGGTTTTTCACTTTTCACATAATGCTTAAATATCAAACAGATAAGAGAGAAAACAAGAGAGTTTTTCTGACTTTCACCTGTGGTGTCAGCCTTCAGTCATGATCCACTGAATGTTGAGTTATTTATGGGAAGTGCAACAGTTCAACAGGAGAGACGTACAAATTACCTGAGACTCCACTGGTGGAGTCTCATCTGGCAGATCTGGGCTGACATCATGTTGAAAAGGCATTTGAAACTCGGTCTTCCACTTCCCAGGAAAATGCTCTCCATATACCACTGGTAAAATCACATCACTTCCCCCCCGATTTTTTGTAAGACAGAAAAAACCTGACCTGTTCTTGATACCTGTCTCCTCTGGGGTGAATTCAAACATAAGGTGGGTTCTCCCACCCATGCCAGCATTAGACACTTGTCTCTCTCTCAGAAATGCAGCTTAGAAGCCTCTTGCTTCAATATTTTTGAGATTCTTTTACACAACCTCCTACTTTGAGTGGGGATTTCCCTGAGCACCTTCTCAAGGAACCTGAGGCTTCAGATCATATAGATAAATCTGAATGTATCTGAGCATCTAGAAATTAGGATTTGCAACATGGATTTTTGCATATGGTTTTAAAAAAAATACCTTGAAAACCATCAACAGGCTTTAAAAATCTGATTCTGTGCACCTAAACTCCATTTGAAATGGCTATTTTAGGTTCTTAATCCTCTTAGCTTTTCAAAATGCTGTCACTGTTTAGTTGGAAGAAAGACAGATCTCCCTTGTTCACTACTCTTCTATTTTCATTGCTTTTCTGAGAGATTTACTAGGATTAGAAGAGTTTTGATTCATTAAATGGGGTCATTGGAGTCACAAGTAGTGGTCCAGTTCTTGATTATGAGGATATGAGATGGATCTGACCTTTTGGTGATTTCACCGGCAGATCTCAGGATCCTGTGGGTTCCAGCAGAGCCTGTGAATTAGGTCATAGATGTGTTGAACCCTGAACATAGGCTTATTTCTGGCCTAAAGCTGTCATATGCAAGCGCCAAGTATGAATTCAGATAGATGTTTTTCCCACTGTCACAAATAGGCTTCACTCCAGGCATTGTTTTTGAGACAGCCATGACGCACTTTGATATATCAATAAGAACAAAAAAAGAACCCCAACCCTAATAAGTTCCAGAAAAATTACATAAACACATCTCACCTGACACTCCTGTCTTCATACACACACTTGACTGACACCATGGGCCAGCACGAAGCCTCTGATGCAGAACTGATACTGGAAATATTGCACAGATGACGCAGAGAACTGATGATCCTACTGGGTGAAGGGGATACTGGAAAATGCTCAGCATTAAGCCAGTTCTCTAAAATCTGAATGAGCAAAATTGAATCAAATCACAGTAATTAAATTCCGTTGTCTCTAAGTGAATGAATTGTAAGAGGACATAGTCTGAGGCTGACCAAGAGAAGGGGAACTATCTGTTCAACAGGTGTTACGGGTCAAACCAAAAAGAGATTGCTAAATCTTTTGAGTGTTGCCACATGAGGGTATATTACAAGCTCTGCAGTTATTACCCTTCAGTAGAAGTTGTGCGGCGGAGCACAGCTGCAGACAATTAAAGACACCACTGCCAGGATCTGACAGCAGAACGTCAGTGTCAAAATTCAATTTGAACTGATTAAATAAGGGATGGCAACACTTTTGTTTTATGGATGGCAGCACTTCAGTCGCTTTAGATGCTCTGCTTTCAGAAATAAATTTCTTTCCCTCCCTGCTATGTTTGTTGGGGTGTTTTGGGTTGGATCACAGTCATTTCTCCAGTCAATCAATTAAGCCAGGATTTGCCACTGTGTCTAAGAGTCAGCCACAAAAGAGCTGGTATGGTTCCCTGGTGCTTGGCCAAGAGGCTTCAGTGGGAGCAAGTCATCAGGCAGCTTAATCTGACTTCCACCACTGGCACAAGGTTTAATGGATGTTAGGGCAGTGGAGAAATCATGTTCTGTGGTGTTCAGCTCCTGCTCTCTCAGTGGCCCTGTACGTGCCGCCTTTCTCTCCGTGCCAAAAACACAGGGGCGGCTGACAGCAGAGCCAGCAGAGCTACCTGTGCCAGCAAGCTGCTCCGTGCAGGGCGATTGCTGCAGCCTTTTGAAGTTTGCGTGTGCTCCATAAATATATTTATCTCCACAGGCCTTGTAGTGCTACACCGCCTGAGTAACTTGATGCATTGAGTAGTCTCCCCGAAGTTAAATGGCAGTAAGTTACTCAGAGATACAAGATTTTGCAGGATTAGGCCTTAAATGCTGACTCCAGGCCAGATCTGCAGCAGGTATAAATCACTGCAGGTAATTTTCACCAGCTGAAATTCTGGCCCTAAGCCCACGAGTCGTGTTGTTATTTTTTCACATTGTAAATTCTTGCTGTTTCTTATTTATATTGCTTTAGCACTTTGGGGCACTTGTCAGGGGACAGGACCCCATCATGCTTGTCACCCTTCAAACAGAGATGCAGAATACCCCTCTCACCCCAGAGTGTTTGCAGTTTAAATAACACACAAACCTGTGTACAGTCATTCAGCTTTCTGTAAGTGCATTATTGCAACCAAGCTTTACTGTTATCCTGTTGGTAAAGCATAAGAGCACAAATTCGGTGCCCGGGTCGATGTTTTTAAGTAAAAAATTTGCACTCTGCTGTATATTATGCCAAATTGGCATTTTAAACCTAGAATTTGTTGGAGCCAGCAGTAGTGTGGGACATGGTCTTTAGCAATTGCAGTGAGAGGTCCAAAGTCTCCTCTCCATTGTGACACCCCATTTGAAACATAAGAAAAATAGAATTTGTACCTAAGTTGAACCTGACGTGAGGGGAATCTTAACAGTGGCTGAATATCTCATCTCTTTTTTGTAGCATTGTATTTAATTATTGTTATATTACTTTCAGTTGTACTGTATCTTCCATCTCTGTAGAGCTCTGGTTAGCATCTCTGGAGTTATTGCTATTGCCTTTCATTACTCTGGAAGAGGTTTAAAATTAGTAAACCTACAACTTTTTATGTCAGAACTAATGCTAGAAAATTCCCCTTCATTACAGTCCTACCTGTCTGCTTAGAAAAATAATGTAGTGGTGTACAGATCTTCAATTTACTGTGTGATGGCCTCAACAGACCAGAAGAATATCACAGGGTTTATGTTTTATTGATATATGATACTGACAAGCTGTTCTTTCTTTCCATGATCTCTTTCACTGTTGTTTTTTTTTTTGGGTTTTTTTGTTTTTTGGTTTTTTTTTGTGATTGTTAGGAGAAGACATGGCACAAGTATTGCCTAGAAAGGTTGGACCAGGTGATCCATGAGGTCCCTTCCATCCTGGTATTCTATGATGCTATGAAGTTTCCTGTGTCCCCTTTTTCCATTGCAAGATCAGCATTAACCTCAGGCAGACCTTGCCAGGCTACTTTGTCATCACGTTGTGTAGGCATTGGAGCACAAATTAACAACAAAGAAATGGCTCTTGGCTTTTTTTCTAGATACTACCATAGCCATTGATGATGGGTGTTTCTAAATAATTCTTATTCTGCCCTAATAACTTATTCATTGCTTTTTGGCAAAGCCCTTGAAAGAGGCTTGGTGAAGGCTCTGAAGAAGCTGGATGACTATCTGAGAACCCCTCTGCCAGAGGAGATTGATGCAGACAGCACTGAAGAGGAGAAGGTGTCTAAACGCAAGTTTCTGGATGGAGATGACCTGACTCTTGCTGACTGCAATCTTTTGCCCAAACTCCACGTTGTCAAGGTAAAAGATGTCACGCGATAGTCAAAGAAGTGAAGTCACTGACAGAGAAGTGCCCTGCTCCCACAGCCAAGTGCTAAAGCCAACATGTATTTCAGCACAGATATCTTAAGTCCTTGAAGAGCAGAGTTTGAAACACATTTTTGCTCCTCAGTATTTCCTACAGGTTAACTTCAGTAGCTTTGTATTTGTACATGGGGAAATTGTTCGATCACTAGTTAGTGTCGAAGACAAGTTCTAGGTAACCCGTCTCTTTGTTTTTACTCTGCTACAAGTAATAGCAGTCTTTCATATTAATTAGTTCCCATTATTCTTAGGAGAGATGTCAAAACTTTAGTCAGTTCCCACCCATTTGTAACTTAAGAGCCGCAGTCCATCTTTTTGGGAAATATTTGTTCCAGCTGGTATTTCACACAGAGAAGTTAACAAATCAAAGTCACCGCTGAGGTCCAGGATTTAAGATGTACAATGGTCGCTGGTATAGTGCAAATGGTGTACATCATCTTGACTTCTAAATGTTGCATTTATTTAATTTATCAGATGACATGTTTCTTTAGAATAAAGCAAGTACCTGGCAGAACTTGGCAAGCAAGAAAGCTAGGAATTAAAGCCAAGTCATGCATCTAATTTGGCTCCATGAGCCAAAACATAAACTGAGCTTGGGAGCTGACTGCACACATTTAAAAAAAAAAAAAAGGTGCATAAGAAGTATCCTCACAGGTTTAGCTCTTTCTTTGGCTCGTCTTCATTGGTGACGTTGGAGTCAGACAATGCAAAATGAATGTGTGGCCCTTCACTGGTTCCTCTCTCCTTGGGATGAAATGTAAGAAGTGAAAAGAGAATTAAAATCTTTCTCAGACAACCATAGCTATAGGATATTGCCTGAAAAGCATTTTACAGATGGAAGAAAAGGGTAAATTATTTTTTCATTTGATGGAAGATGTGTGCTGGAAATTGTGAAAATCTTGACTTAAGTTGCCCAGCAGGTTTTATCTTCCCCATGCGTGTGCGAAGCATCACTGAAGGCAAGAATGCTTAATTAAATGCAGTTTAGGACAGGATTTGGACTTGCGTATACCAAGTGGATCCTGTTAATAAAAACAAATCACAGCCATTTCTGAGAATATGACTGTCCTAAGAAATCTGAGATGGAAAACAGCTCTACCATGTGCTTTAAAAATAAAGGGGAACTCTGTGGCACATATGTATGTAATTTATGCCCAGGAACAGTTTTATACTGTCAGAAAAATTAGAGATTGGAAGCACTCATTAAATCAGCTAATCCATCCCTTCCTATCAGCTAGTTCATTCTGTCACCACAGGATTATTCTATATGGTATATTCTTACAGGAAAACTGAAATATCCCAATCCAGCAAGCTACTTAACCAACCAACTAGCTTTAAGCACAGATTAGTCCCATTGAGTTCAATGTGACTATACAGGTGCTTAAAATTAAGTATGCACTTAACTGTTTTCCTGAATAAGGGCCTGAGTGTTTTTAGAAGTCAAAAATTTCCCTTGATAGACAATTTCCTAGCCTAACAAGTCTTGAAATAACCATTTTCTCCTCCAGTTTATCCTAATACTCCTGTTTCTAATGTCTGCTAAATCTTCTTGGTTTCTCAATCATGGTACCCATACCACCCTGAATTTTTCCTTTGTGTGAACACAGATACAGCCTTCCAACAGCTGTAGGTGGTTACATCCTCTGACGTCATTGGCCAGGCAAAATATACTAAATATATTATAAATAGAAATATAATATATATATAAAATAGATCTTAAGTATATATGATGTGAACTATCATTATATAATAATTAAACATGTTAAAGATAAATATAATATTAATATTAAAATATGTTATGTATTAATTGTTACTAATGACTTTCTCTTCAACCTATCTTCCTTATTATGATTCAGCTCATCAGCTCTTTCTTATATGGCATCTCACCTTTAAGAAATGATGTACATAAGACTGGTAGCAACCTCCAAACACCAATATGGTAAAATTAATGAACTTCAGGTAACATAAAAGTCATAACTGGGTGATAGTTGCGAGGCCCTTGCATTAGGGTGTGCTTAGGCCAAGGATCATCCTTGCAAGATAGGGGATGACCAATGGTCACTTTCCAGGCTTTTATATTAGAAGGCCCTGATTCTCCAAGCATTTCTCTCCTTTGCTATTAATTATGTGACAAGAAAGAGTAAGAAGCTCTCTAAAACAGAATCTGGAGATATGTATCACCAGCAGAATGCTTTTTTTCCCTCTTCTATCTTTGGTTTAGATTGTTGCAAAGAAGTACCGCAACTTTGAGTTCCCAACAGAGATGACGGGGCTGTGGCGGTACCTGAAGAACGCGTACGCCAGGGATGAATTCACCAATACCTGTGCGGCAGACAAAGAAATTGAGCAAGCCTACGCAGACGTGGCCAAGCGGCTCAGCAAGTCCTAACTGACCTCAGCAGTGGCTCAGTATCCCCTTTTACAGACTCTTCTCCTTGTTGCCTTAAGATATACTTTATCATTATGCTATCTGGTTGGCATCCCTATGACTTCACCTGTTCAAGTGTATTGGTCAGGGACAAATCTGCTTCTCCCTGGAGAAAAGAGAAGGCAGCTCTAGTGGGGGGGTGGTGGAGACCCTTTGAAATCTGAACCTAAGATCTATCTCAACTAGTATTATTTGCAATCAGTATTGGAAATAAGTCCACTTTACTAGTGTCTTGTTTCATGCTGGGGTTATATCACCACCTGTATTCTTTGGCATTTTAAAAATAGGGCATTAGCTAAAATTTCAAGTAAGAGAGGTAGGAACACATAGAACTGGTTCTTCTGTAGGTTATTTCAAGGACGATTTTCCCCCCAGTGCTATTGAGACCCTTGAGGCAGGAGCAAAATATGAGAGAGAGAGATGGGAAAAAAAGGAGTTTGACCCTAAAAGAGAAATGCTCTTAGCAGTTATTTTTTAAAAAACTCTCTGAATGCATATTCTGTCTTAGCAGGCCCAAGAGTTTATAGGGTATTTATTTTTAACTTGGCGCAAGAGGGGGAAGCCTGAGTGAATATGTCAGACTTGCAGATGCTACTTTGCATAAAATTTGCATGATGATGTTGGATCTGAATGCTTAAAGCAAAAGAGAGTGAATGAGCAATTGAAATGCTGGTCGGTAGAGACACTCAGACACAGCTGTAACGGGGCAGCTTGTTGGCTCCAGCAAATAGAGGGAATTAGCACAGCTAACCAAACCACGTAGGATATTGTCATCTTCACTGTATGGTTGCCAGTTGTTTTCTAATTGCTATCTTGGGAAACTTGGACAGGCAGGAGAAAGCTGTCACTGCCCACAAATTCCAGGCAGGGGAAGTGCTTTCTTCGTGTTGGGCTCCAGATGGGTCACTTTCAAGCATTCATCTTCTCACCCCAGGAGAAGTTTGCTCTGACAGCCTCAAGGAGGGCAGGCTAAAACAGAGAGAGGCACATTTCCAGCCAGAAATTTGGCAAGTGTGCTAGCAGAAATCCGTGCATTACACCTTAGTCCCATTCCTCCACAGTTTACTGATCCAGGTTACACAATTCTGAATTAGGGTTGTTTCCTAAAACTGATTATTTTGTTCTGTCTGTAGCATCTGCCTGACACAATCCACTTTATACTAGTGATTATTTGGATGTTAACTGTAGCAAATTCAGAATGACAGCTCTTTTGCATGAAACTCGCGTGCCCTGATATGTACAACAGTGCACATGGTGCTCGATTTTCAGGTGCGGGGGGGTTATCATTGATTTCAAAGATAAAATAAAGCTGAGCTGTAACCTGATGTGGCTCCCCTTCTGATCAGAGCTGCAGAGAGCTGCACTGATTTGAGGGGAACCCCGAGCTGGTGAGCTGTGACCGAGGGGAACCTCACGACAGGCTTGTTTGCAGCCAGAGAACTGGAGGACTAGAGACCGCACCGAAAGCTGGCCTCTGCTGTGTGACACTGATGACAATCTGAAGCCATCCTGTTGCTTTGGTGGGATTATTCCACTTTTCACACTAACTCAGCTGGGAGCAGAATGTTGCTCGTTGACTGTGAAGATAGTTTGTGGTTGACTATTGTTTCACATGCAATGGTCAATTTGTTCTGAACTCTCCAAAACCTTGGAAGAAAATCCATGAACCCCCAAGTCTTCCCCTAGAATAGGCTGTTTTAACAACAGCTAGACTGGAGGGCAAAAGCTCACGCTCTTTAAAATATTGCTGAGGAATCAGCTGGCTCAGAGAACACTAATAGCAGCCAGAAATATCTAATGAGATTAAAAGTGTCTGTACAAGCACATGTGGCTTGTTAAAAACATTTCTTCATGAGATTGGAGTTATTTGTGATTTTGTTTGTAAATTCAGGAATTTATTTATTTATTTATTTTAATTGACTCAGTCCTTTCTGTCTGTCTTTCTGGTTTTGTTTTCACTCAGCACGCTGGTCAAGATGGCTCTGTCTGTTTAGAAAAGTGTTATTAGCAATGCTCTGAAATTCTTTCCTAGTGAGAAGTCTTCTGTCTGATTAATGGTCACTGGGATTTTTTTCCTTTCAGTAAGATTTGGCTAGGAGCATGCCGATCAACAGAATCTACATTTTTCTCAATCATCTTTTTCCAGGCTTATACTTCATTGCTTTGCTTAATCATAGTTGCAGTGCATCTTTGAACGAAGATGCAGAGGCAGGTGCAGGTTCTTGCTCTGTCCTTATTATATTTAACTCCTTAAAGAAGAGTGTCCAAACATGCAGCAGATCTCAGGCAGGGTAAGTGAACCAGTTCAGGGTCTGTCATGATTTCTTCCATCTCTGTGAATCTTCACCAATTTTCTGAATGCCATGGTTTTGAAAGGTTCCAATATGTCTTACTTCAGTTTTGCTAGAAGAGGGCCAAAACGCAGTTGATCTCAGCAACTTCAGATTGCCTCTGTTTCTAAAAAAAAAATGTTTAAAAATGGTTGGGCTTATGCAAAAAAAAAAAAAAAAAAAGAGCTTTTTGTAAGATGATTTGCATGTTCTTAAAATATTTTTAGGATTTCATTATAAAGACTGAAAATCCCCAAGGTACTTTCCTTTTTGTTAATAACAAAAAAATCCATAGATATCTTCATTGTTCTAATTACACCACCAAAAAATCCAGGTATAATTTATTGATGGATGTGAGATAGAGTAAGAGGAAAATGAAACAGTTTCCAGCTACCATACCCGTTCTGTGTGAATTCAAGTCTCGCTTTGCATCCTAACTTTTCATCTTACTCATAGTTCTATTACTGGCTGATCCAAGATTATGGACAGGTTCAGGCATGCCCTGACCTTTGTTTGGGTTTGAAATCCACACTCAAGTTTTCAGATCTGTAACTTGTGCTCACCTTTGTGCTTTTTGGCTTTAGCCATAGTCAGAAGCAGGAAATACTGGAAATCCTACATAGAAAAGTGTTTTTCTAAGATTTTTGAGCTCAGTTTTCAAGACTCAGGATCCATCACCAGTGAGATTTTAAAGGGCTCCAGACTCCTTTAGACTGGGTATTTTTGGTGACCTTCTATTGTATTTAGAATTATAAGTAATAAATATTAATCATTCAGGATTGTATATCTACATTGGCAAGGCAGCATTTCTGAAAAGAATCTAAGTGACAAGACAGACATTGCAGATTTACAATAACTTTGTTCATAAATTTTTTGCAAGATGTAAAGACAGACATAGTGCAGAGGGGGAAGAAGCCAACAATGTGGATTTAATCATCTACATTTCAGAAATGCAGACCAAATGTCTGTAAAGATGTCCATTTCATCCAAACATTTCTTAGATATTTATTTCAAAGCTCCCTGTTCAGTCAATCCAACACTCCATTTGTATTGGAACTAATATTGATTTTTCCTCTATTAGCAGTGGTATGGGAGTGTTAGAAGATCCCGTCTATTAGTTACTCTTATTTTCTGTTAGACTATTTGAATTGCCAAGAGGTCATCTCGCTGTGCAGGTAAGACTAAAGAAGATTCTGTGTCATGACTATTTCAACAAGGTCTTCCGACAAACATTTTTTCCAATAGGAAGAATCATATAATGGTATCGCTCTATCAGGACTAGTGTGGAATATAGAGGTACAGGTTACAAGCTCTACTCCTATGTTCACATCAGCTGAAAAATCTCTGCCAGGTAGGAATGACAGTCGATATCACAAAGAAGCCAGAACTATTTTTTTTTCCTACAAGAAAGTTCCCCCGAATTGCATATAACATTTATTTTGAATATGTATTTATTTTATTTTAATCCCTAGCCACCTTTCCTCCTCTCTCATCCCTGCTCAAAGTCAACTCCAAGTTAGGCATAACCATTCTGGCATTTCCTCAGCGCTAAGTAGCAGGCTGCTCATGGATAGGCACATGGGGAAATGTGTTGTAGCGTAACCCATCCGGCTTATGGGACGAAGCAGGGAGCCCCTTTTCTGCATTGCCTGAGTTTGGCTAATTAGCCGAGTTGAAGGTATTGCAAAAATTTGGGCAGTGGAAATCCCACTTACGTAAAGCCCCAGAAGCACATGGAAACATTCACTTATTCAAATGAATTGGTGTTCTAAAGAAAAAAATAACCCCAAAATCTTGTGTCCTCCTTCATGTGTATTCTTCTAAGCACCAGGAATTTTGCATTTGTTTATTATTCTTCTACATATATTCATTATTCTTGAATTGCTTTTGATATGAAGAAATATTTTTTTCAGTAAGATTTTGCCTTTCTGCTGAATCTTTCATCTCTTCATCAATTTTGATGTCTGCAATGACCTAGTAATTCCAGAGGAGGCAGGAAAGCTGTGAGGCTTATACTTGCTGGGAACTGAAGCAGGTAATGATTTTCTGGGGAGAAAACAGTATTAAATGCATTTTTAAAAAAATGTGTCTTTTCATCTGGGATACTTTAACCAAGAGTGATTGACTGTTTAGCCTGGACTGTGATTTTCACCACAGACCTGAGCAAGCCACCATGTTTAAGGCAGCATTGCCTAGGGATTTCCCCAGGATACATAGAGATGTTCCCTCTGAGTCACAATATTTCCCATTTCCTTGGTCAGGAGGGATCTGCTGGTTTGTGTTGGTGCTGAACTGTGACAGCCCACTAACTCAGTGCTAGGCAGCAAAAAGAGGGGTCCTGTGCCCTTCTCTTCCCTTCTAGCTCACACGGAGGGAAAGCAGAAAACATTAACCTGTTTTATTTCCTTGCCCTACATCCCAAGCCACACTCCAGCCTTAGGGAAGCACAGGAACCCCATCCAACGCTGGTTTCCAAAGCTTGGTCAGTTCGTGTTTTATTGTTTGACCTAAGGGTCTGAAGCGCCCCGTGTAACTCCCCAGGCACTCACCACGCAGCGCTACAGGACTCAGCAGCATCTCGGAGACCGCAGCAATCGTGTTATTCCCCTGTTCCCCCCATTCATTCCCCTT